TTTGCGCCCTCCAGAGAAAATGCAAATTTTTCATTTTTTGCGCCCTCCCAGGAATTGCGCCCGGGGCGTAGTCACCTCTTGCCCACCCCTTGCTACGGCCCTGCCTGGCAATTACGAACATCTTAAAAAAATTTGAGACATATCAGACCAGCCGTTCTCAATTGATGAATTGTTATACATTTTTGGCTCCATTTATATATATACATTTTTTATTATAGACACTTATAACTTTAGAGTAAACAAATATAATAGTTGGCACATTATTCATTTTATTTTGAAACATTATCGTTTTATGTTATCTATGAACTTTTTCAATCAAAAACGACTATTGTTTTTTGGAGAGAATTTTTAAACACTTAATGGGCAACGAAGTGCACGGGTTCAACTAAAATATATTTTTTTTTTCGATTTTTATCGATTTTAATCGATTTCAATTATTATTAATATTTATATTATATTTATATTTATATTTTTATCTGCTAGAGCGCGCCACCGGTGTAACTCAGTTTTTGTCTCTAAATCTCTAACTCACATGAGTTAGGTCCATATCTATATATATAAAAATGGAGACAAAAAATTCGAAATTGCATCAGTTGAGAACAGCTGGGCCGATTATGCTCAATTTTTTTTAAATGATGGAGAATTAATTTATTTAAAAAAAAATTGAGCATAATCGGCCCAGCCGTTCTCAACTGATGCAATTTCGAATTTTTGTCTCCATTTTTATATATATAGAAGATAACATATTATGATTTAGACTGATTACAATCACAAACATATGCAGATTTTACATATTCGTTTTTTACATTTTCTATAAATTCATTACCCTTACTGTTTACGCAAGCCGTCGTTAAACTCGTACCGCTATCGGTGTTGGCGACTTTACCTGTTGACCGCCGACTAAGCTTGCGTATTCGCCTTCCCGTCCGACGTGTTATCTGACTGGCTATTTTGCATGTTGTGGTGGCGCGCCGATATGTCTACTCCAGTTGCCCTGTCTCGCTTGACATCGGACGTCGCTGCTTTGACGTCCGTGGAGACCTTTTGGGTATCGTCTATTGTTTCGGCTTCTATATTGTACCGGTCGAGACCCGAGTTACGTGTCGTCTACTCGTATGTTATGCTATAATCGTCAGTCGCCGTCATTAATAATTGCTGTGTCGCGCGCGTAGTACGTACGTACCTACTTACATTGTTGTAGCATATCGCGTACATGTTACGTAAGGCCGTCGTCGTCGCCGCCGCCGCCGCCGATCTATTTGAGTGTCAGGTGTAGTGCGTTGTACGGGAAGCCGCCGCCGTCCGTTCCACCGTCGACTGAAGGCCGTCGCCGAGCTATTTCCATATTAATTGATTTATCATAATATCGGTCTGCACCGCCGATCAGCTGGTCGCATATAATTATCACGTCCAGCCACCTCCGACGACCATCGCCGCCGCCACCCAACAATAACAACATCACCGCCGTCGCCGTTGCACCGAGATAAGTTCTCCCCGTATGTTGTATTATCATTTTATATTGTTATCATGAATTGTATTATTATTATTGAGTTTTATGTATGTAGTTGACATAGAGACGTCTATCGTCAATTGCACTTAAATTATTATTAATATCATCTGAGATAATTGGTCAATACAAATATTATACTCTACCTACCATTTACCAAATTGTATCATTTTATTGTTTTCCTGACACCGCGAGTACATCGTGTCAACTGCTTCGGTAAGAACACGACGTGCGCCAACATTTGGTAGCAGAGCGTGGTTTCAGCTGATCTTTGTCTCTAAGCGTTGTCAGGTACTATAAGTGACTGGATAGGGCATTGGTAGTTGAGTATAGCTGTTCTAGTATTTATTTATTGAGTATTATAAGCTGTATTATATCTGCTAACGACTTGTCGTATATAAACATTTAAATAGTTATATTGTTTGTTTAAATATTACATTTTGTGTTGACCTAGCATTTTGAGGGTCTTGGTTGTCAACGTAGGTAACTTAAATTATTAACTAACGTACAATGCCGGATACGGAAGAAGACAGTGCGTGGCAACTTAGACTGTTGCAAAGAACAAAAACTGTTGCTATCATATCTCGTGATACTACGGTTAACCGTATCCAGGCCATACACGAATTGTCTAAATTCTACCTCTAATCCAGAGTTACGTACTGAATTTCTAACTGCTGTGGGGGATTTAAACTCGCTGTGGGAGAAATTTGTGGTTGATAACCAAGCGGTTCTCTACGCTCTGTTGGATCTGGGTTTATCTGCGGAGTTTTCATCAACCAAGGAATCTCAAGTCCGTTCTCTGTACATACAAGCAGTCGCTGTTGCGGAAACCCTCAGACCAACACAGACATGTGATGATAACGTTAGTCATAACGGGTCTATACATTCCAATCGATCTAATGATAACAATTGTTCAGGCAGACCACGGTTGCCAGAAATACCATTGCCCACGTTTAGCGGCGACCTTTCAGATTGGCCTGTTTTTCGAGATCGGTTCAATGCGCGCGTAATTGAGCGCAATGACTTGTCTAACATTGACCGATTCTACTATTTGCTAGGTTGCCTTAAGGATGAGGCTCTTCATAGTATTCGAAATATTGTTGTATCCGACGCTACATATGACCTAGCGTGGACGACACTTGTAGAACGTTTTGATAAACCTCGACAGCTAGCCTCCTTGATCGTAGATAAACTAATATCTATACCAGCTCAGTCCCAAGAATCGTTAGACGGGTTAAAGGATTTTTTAACGGTTTTCTCTGACCAGGTTTCGACACTTGAATCGTTGAACATCCCTGATCTAGGCGAGTTTCTATTGTTCTCGCTTTCCGCACGGTGTCTACCTCTGTCAACTCGTAAAGGGTTTGAGGCTATCAATAATAACGAGTTCCCTACGGCAGCTGATGTTGTGTCTTATGTTAAAAATCGTGTATCTATTTTGGAAGCTGTCAACTTCACCAGCAGTTCACGTCGTCCACTAGCACAACAGGAACGACCTAAACCCTCTCTACGTCGTCACGATGAAAAACGGTCCAAGGTAACCCTGCACACTTCAAGGCTGTCGAATGATCCGGCATTAAAATGCTTGTTTTGTTCTAAAGACCATTCGTCAGTCCAATGTCCAAATTTTGAAGGTTTGTCAATGGACGCCCGTTACCAGACCGCCCGTGACAAAAAGGTGTGTTTTCGTTGCTTAAATTCAACACACTGGTCAAACCGTTGCAAGATTAACAAGCCGTGTGACAAGTGCTCTGGTCGTCACCATTCTCTCCTGCACAGGGATTATCAAGAAACTGAGAAACGAACGCCGCCACAAGTATCAATGGTCAGCGCGCGGGATACGTCTACAGTACTATTGGGAACTGCTTTGTTGCATGTCCGAGATCATGCCGGTTGTATGCAGCAGGTGCGTGCTCTCATTGATTCCGGATCACAAATAAGCGTCATGTCAACGTCATGTGTTGAACGGCTGGGCTTAAGGCGAGTGAAATGGACCGCGCCTCTCACAGGTGTATCCGGTGTTGCAGTTTCCAATGTCGACGGTTTGGTCAAGTGCATAATTGCCCCTCGATATGACGACCACCGTATCCACGTCAGTGCTTGGATCCTTCCGAAAATCACCGGTAATATGCCTATCTTCCTCTCGCACCTCAAGTCAAACAGCACTTTAGTCACTTAGCGCTTGCAGACCCAGGATTCGACCGTTCCGACCCCATAGATTTACTTTTGGGTGCTGATGTGTACTCCCAGGTCATGGACGGTAAACGAATTGTCATCAATGATTCGTTGCCTGCTGCTTTCGGGTCCTTGTTTGGCTGGATCATTATCGGCCCTGTTCAGGGCTCTGTGTCTCAATCGTTCCAATCTAATGTTGTGTCACTTACCATCTCTTTAGAGACCATCATCCAACGGTTTTGGCAAGTGGAAGAGCCGGACGAAGTTCCAGACATATTCACCAAGGACGGTCAATGTGAAAGTATTTACATTTCGGAACGGACACGTGATTCTATGGGACGATTTGTAGTTCCACTACCATTTTTAAATGAACACCGGTCCGAGACGTTTCCCGGTTCCAGACAAATAGCTGTGCGCCGCTTTCAGAATCTGGAAAAGAAGCTCCAAGACAATGACACCTTAGGCCAAGCATACAGACAGTTTATGCATGAGTATGAATCGTTGGGACATATGTCCATTGCCCCTTGTCCAGGTTCATACTTCATACCCCATCATCCGGTGTTTAAGGGCTCGCTAACTTCGAGCAAGATACGAGTTGTTTTCGATGCATCTGCCACGGCATCAAACAAACTTTCGCTAAACCAATGTCTGCATACCGGCCCTAAGTTGCAACAAGATATCATCGATATTCTTCTACGGTTCCGGGTACACAAGTACACTTTCACTGCTGATGTATGTAAAATGTACCGCCAGATTCTGGTACATCAACAATACCGGTCATTTCAACACATACTTTGGCGGGCGTCAACAACGGACGAACTGAAGGAGTATCAGCTTAACACGGTCACCTATGGCGTGAATTGTGCCCCCTACTTGGCCTTAAGAGTGCTTCAAGACATAGCTGAACAAGAGGGCAGTTACTTTCCGACAGTCAAAGATGCGTTGTTGCATCAGACATATGTCGATGACGTGTGTGTCGGAGCTGATACTTCCAATGAACTCGTAAAGTTGCAGTCAGACTTGCAATTAGTCCTGGGCCGCGCCGGTCTGGACCTCAAAAAATGGTCAAGTAATTTGCCATCTATATTGTCAGCCGTGCCTTTGGAGGACCGTGCTTCTGACGTCATTCATTTCGACGATAAGGAGGGTGGTGTGACAAAGGTTTTGGGTCTTCAATGGAATCCCTCGATGGATGTGTTCGGATTCAACGTATGTCCATCAACACACTCCAACCAAACGTACTGTTCTGTCCATCATCGCGAGAATTTATGACCCGATCGGATTTCTCGCTCCAGTCATATTTTATGCTAAGCATATCATGCAAAGGATTTGGAAGGCAAATGTATCCTGGGACGACCCTCTACCACCAGATTTGGTCAATTGTTGGTCCGTGTTTGTCGACAGTCTCCCGGCACTATCAAATGTAAAGGTTCCTCGTTTCCTATCCACGCAATTGCAGTCTCGCGTTCAGTTGTGCGGCTTCTGCGATGCGTCAGAAAAGGGTTACTCGGCAGTAGTGTACTTGCGCACAGTCACACACAATCACTCTGTCTCTATTTCGCTACTTGGATCCAAAACCAAAATGGCCCCTGTAAAGACTTCCACTGTGCCTAGACTCGAGTTATGTGCCGCTGTCCTACTTGCTCGGTGGCTGTACCGCCTTCTGACGATATTACAGGATAAACTGAACGTAGACTCTACCTTTGCTTGGTCTGATTCACAGATAGTTTTGTCCTGGTTAGTCAAACCTCACTCTATGTTCAAAGTGTTTGTCTCCAATCGTGTGCATCGAATACATACACTTCTTCCACATTGCCAATGGGGATATGTTCGCTCTGCCATCAATCCTGCGGATTGCGCCTCCAGGGGAATGCTACCTTCCGAGTTGATTAGCCATTCGTTGTATTGGTGTGGCCCGAAATTTTTATATGCTAATGTCGATACTTGGGACACGTCTCCAACTCCCATCCCGGTGGAACAATTACCTGATACTAAGATCGTATCCCTTACCGTAACTGTCAGTGAACCATCTGAATGGATTTGTCGATTTTCCTCGTATGACCGCATGCTTCGTGTCATATCGTGGGTACGACGTTTCATTTTTCGCTGTAAGCGTAAGGAGTACCCACTCGCCTTCTTGCAGGCATCTGAGCTTCAGGAGTCACTTGTCAGTATTGTCCGAGTATCTCAGCGTCTATTGTTGTCTGGATTGTTCATCACCCTGGAATCGGACCGAACTCCATCACGCTCATACGCTCGTCTCCGCCCATTCATGGACTCCAACGGACTGATCCGCATCGGCGGGAGACTACATCACGCCGATCTACCTACTCTTCAGAAGCAGCCCATGCTGTTACCCAAGACGTCACACTTAGCCAAGCTGATCGTCCGACACTGGCATTTAGTTACGTGTCATTCTGGACCCAGGGTTATAACCGCTTTGATAACCCGTAACTTTTGGATAATGTCAGTTCGTGTTGTCATTCGTCAGACTATTGGGTCATGCACCACCTGTGTTCGAGCTATCGCTCAATCTCCGCAACCTCTGATGGCAAATTTGCCTGCAGCCCGCGTTCAAGTATGTCAGCCTTTCTCCAAAGTCGGAATCGACTACGCCGGCCCCCTTCCGATGAGAGAATTCCGCCTACGGAAGCCTAGAGAGTACAAGGTCTATATAGCTGTTTTTGTTTGCATGGCTGTCAAAGCCGTTCATCTGGAGCTCGTTCTTGAGCTATCTACTGACGCATTTTTAGCGGCGTTCGATAGGTTTGTAGCTCGTCGTGGTCTGCCTCAAGAAATCTTTTCCGACTGCGGTACCAACTTTGTTGGCGCGTCAAAACGGCTATCCATACTGGTCAATCATCCAGAAAATCGTGACCGGTTGACAGCTCGCGCTCCCTGTTCTTTTAACTTTAACCCCCCAGCGGCACCACATTTTGGAGGTCTCTGGGAAGCCGCCGTACGTTCAACCAAAACTCTGTTGTCTAGGGTAATGGGGTGTCACCATCCAACCTTGGAGGAACTATCAACCGTGCTCTGTCGAATCGAAGCTGTCCTCAACTCACGACCGCTCACGCCAATGTCTTCGTCCCCATTGGACTTAGACTATTTGACACCAGGTCATTTTCTGATTGGCCGGCCGTTGCTGTCCGTGCCAGATCTGCCGATGCCGGAGACAGCTAGCAAGTCGGTTCCTCGTTGGAAGCTTCTCCACCAGTGCCATCAGGCGTTCTGGCGTCGGTGGTCCGCCGAATATTTATGCTCTCTGCAAGTACGCAACAAATGGACTAAGAACAGCCCCAACCTCAAAATAGGCGATATGGTCGTAGTGAAAGACAAACAGCTGGCCCCCACCCACTGGCGCTTAGGACGCATACTAAGTGTCAACCCAGGCGTTGACGGTGTAGTACGTGTAGTCCGATTGTTAACTTCACAAGGGGAGTTAACTAGACCTGTGGTTAAGTTAGTATTGTTACCTACGGAATAGCCCCACTAGTCAGTTCCATCCGTACCCTCATAGTAGTTTCTTACACCCACTCCAGTCACTATTACTTAAAAAAAAAAAAAGACCTATATTTTCTTACTTTGGTGTCAGTGACACGATGTACCGCTTTTGCCTTGATATTTTTGTATAAGTTTTTTTTACTCATTGTTTTTTTTTTGTTCGTTACTCTTTTGAAACGTTATACTATTTGAAATTGATGTTACCATTTAATATTTATCTTGCTTATTACTATATATTATTCTTACTATGTATTATTTTGTATATTTGTAATTTTTTTTTTTTTTTTTATTGTATAATTAGCATCTTCAATGCCAGCCTTACTTCGTCATCTCAAGAGTCAAGATCACCATTTCAACTGATCAACTGTGGTAGTCTTCGGTACGCTGTGAAGCTGCTCTTCCCAGCGGGGGGGAGGATGTTTACGCAAGCCGTCGTTAAACTCGTACCGCTATCGGTGTTGGCGACTTTACCTGTTGACCGCCGACTAAGCTTGCGTATTCGCCTTCCCGTCCGACGTGTTATCTGACTGGCTATTTTGCATGTTGTGGTGGCGCGCCGATATGTCTACTCCAGTTGCCCTGTCTCGCTTGACATCGGACGTCGCTGCTTTGACGTCCGTGGAGACCTTTTGGGTATCGTCTATTGTTTCGGCTTCTATATTGTACCGGTCGAGACCCGAGTTACGTGTCGTCTACTCGTATGTTATGCTATAATCGTCAGTCGCCGTCATTAATAATTGCTGTGTCGCGCGCGTAGTACGTACGTACCTACTTACATTGTTGTAGCATATCGCGTACATGTTACGTAAGGCCGTCGTCGTCGCCGCCGCCGCCGCCGATCTATTTGAGTGTCAGGTGTAGTGCGTTGTACGGGAAGCCGCCGCCGTCCGTTCCACCGTCGACTGAAGGCCGTCGCCGAGCTATTTCCATATTAATTGATTTATCATAATATCGGTCTGCACCGCCGATCAGCTGGTCGCATATAATTATCACGTCCAGCCACCTCCGACGACCATCGCCGCCGCCACCCAACAATAACAACATCACCGCCGTCGCCGTTGCACCGAGATAAGTTCTCCCCGTATGTTGTATTATCATTTTATATTGTTATCATGAATTGTATTATTATTATTGAGTTTTATGTATGTAGTTGACATAGAGACGTCTATCGTCAATTGCACTTAAATTATTATTAATATCATCTGAGATAATTGGTCAATACAAATATTATACTCTACCTACCATTTACCAAATTGTATCATTTTATTGTTTTCCTGACACCGCGAGTACATCGTGTCAACTGCTTCGGTAAGAACACGACGTGCGCCAACATTTGGTAGCAGAGCGTGGTTTCAGCTGATCTTTGTCTCTAAGCGTTGTCAGGTACTATAAGTGACTGGATAGGGCATTGGTAGTTGAGTATAGCTGTTCTAGTTATTTATTTATTGAGTATTATAAGCTGTATTATATCTGCTAACGACTTGTCGTATATAAACATTTAAATAGTTATATTGTTTGTTTAAATATTACATTTTGTGTTGACCTAGCATTTTGAGGGTCTTGGTTGTCAACGTAGGTAACTTAAATTATTAACTAACGTACAATGCCGGATACGGAAGAAGACAGTGCGTGGCAACTTAGACTGTTGCAAAGAACAAAAACTGTTGCTATCATATCTCGTGATACTACGGTTAACCGTATCCAGGCCATACACGAATTGTCTAAATTCTACCTCTAATCCAGAGTTACGTACTGAATTTCTAACTGCTGTGGGGGATTTAAACTCGCTGTGGGAGAAATTTGTGGTTGATAACCAAGCGGTTCTCTACGCTCTGTTGGATCTGGGTTTATCTGCGGAGTTTTCATCAACCAAGGAATCTCAAGTCCGTTCTCTGTACATACAAGCAGTCGCTGTTGCGGAAACCCTCAGACCAACACAGACATGTGATGATAACGTTAGTCATAACGGGTCTATACATTCCAATCGATCTAATGATAACAATTGTTCAGGCAGACCACGGTTGCCAGAAATACCATTGCCCACGTTTAGCGGCGACCTTTCAGATTGGCCTGTTTTTCGAGATCGGTTCAATGCGCGCGTAATTGAGCGCAATGACTTGTCTAACATTGACCGATTCTACTATTTGCTAGGTTGCCTTAAGGATGAGGCTCTTCATAGTATTCGAAATATTGTTGTATCCGACGCTACATATGACCTAGCGTGGACGACACTTGTAGAACGTTTTGATAAACCTCGACAGCTAGCCTCCTTGATCGTAGATAAACTAATATCTATACCAGCTCAGTCCCAAGAATCGTTAGACGGGTTAAAGGATTTTTTAACGGTTTTCTCTGACCAGGTTTCGACACTTGAATCGTTGAACATCCCTGATCTAGGCGAGTTTCTATTGTTCTCGCTTTCCGCACGGTGTCTACCTCTGTCAACTCGTAAAGGGTTTGAGGCTATCAATAATAACGAGTTCCCTACGGCAGCTGATGTTGTGTCTTATGTTAAAAATCGTGTATCTATTTTGGAAGCTGTCAACTTCACCAGCAGTTCACGTCGTCCACTAGCACAACAGGAACGACCTAAACCCTCTCTACGTCGTCACGATGAAAAACGGTCCAAGGTAACCCTGCACACTTCAAGGCTGTCGAATGATCCGGCATTAAAATGCTTGTTTTGTTCTAAAGACCATTCGTCAGTCCAATGTCCAAATTTTGAAGGTTTGTCAATGGACGCCCGTTACCAGACCGCCCGTGACAAAAAGGTGTGTTTTCGTTGCTTAAATTCAACACACTGGTCAAACCGTTGCAAGATTAACAAGCCGTGTGACAAGTGCTCTGGTCGTCACCATTCTCTCCTGCACAGGGATTATCAAGAAACTGAGAAACGAACGCCGCCACAAGTATCAATGGTCAGCGCGCGGGATACGTCTACAGTACTATTGGGAACTGCTTTGTTGCATGTCCGAGATCATGCCGGTTGTATGCAGCAGGTGCGTGCTCTCATTGATTCCGGATCACAAATAAGCGTCATGTCAACGTCATGTGTTGAACGGCTGGGCTTAAGGCGAGTGAAATGGACCGCGCCTCTCACAGGTGTATCCGGTGTTGCAGTTTCCAATGTCGACGGTTTGGTCAAGTGCATAATTGCCCCTCGATATGACGACCACCGTATCCACGTCAGTGCTTGGATCCTTCCGAAAATCACCGGTAATATGCCTATCTTCCTCTCGCACCTCAAGTCAAACAGCACTTTAGTCACTTAGCGCTTGCAGACCCAGGATTCGACCGTTCCGACCCCATAGATTTACTTTTGGGTGCTGATGTGTACTCCCAGGTCATGGACGGTAAACGAATTGTCATCAATGATTCGTTGCCTGCTGCTTTCGGGTCCTTGTTTGGCTGGATCATTATCGGCCCTGTTCAGGGCTCTGTGTCTCAATCGTTCCAATCTAATGTTGTGTCACTTACCATCTCTTTAGAGACCATCATCCAACGGTTTTGGCAAGTGGAAGAGCCGGACGAAGTTCCAGACATATTCACCAAGGACGGTCAATGTGAAAGTATTTACATTTCGGAACGGACACGTGATTCTATGGGACGATTTGTAGTTCCACTACCATTTTTAAATGAACACCGGTCCGAGACGTTTCCCGGTTCCAGACAAATAGCTGTGCGCCGCTTTCAGAATCTGGAAAAGAAGCTCCAAGACAATGACACCTTAGGCCAAGCATACAGACAGTTTATGCATGAGTATGAATCGTTGGGACATATGTCCATTGCCCCTTGTCCAGGTTCATACTTCATACCCCATCATCCGGTGTTTAAGGGCTCGCTAACTTCGAGCAAGATACGAGTTGTTTTCGATGCATCTGCCACGGCATCAAACAAACTTTCGCTAAACCAATGTCTGCATACCGGCCCTAAGTTGCAACAAGATATCATCGATATTCTTCTACGGTTCCGGGTACACAAGTACACTTTCACTGCTGATGTATGTAAAATGTACCGCCAGATTCTGGTACATCAACAATACCGGTCATTTCAACACATACTTTGGCGGGCGTCAACAACGGACGAACTGAAGGAGTATCAGCTTAACACGGTCACCTATGGCGTGAATTGTGCCCCCTACTTGGCCTTAAGAGTGCTTCAAGACATAGCTGAACAAGAGGGCAGTTACTTTCCGACAGTCAAAGATGCGTTGTTGCATCAGACATATGTCGATGACGTGTGTGTCGGAGCTGATACTTCCAATGAACTCGTAAAGTTGCAGTCAGACTTGCAATTAGTCCTGGGCCGCGCCGGTCTGGACCTCAAAAAATGGTCAAGTAATTTGCCATCTATATTGTCAGCCGTGCCTTTGGAGGACCGTGCTTCTGACGTCATTCATTTCGACGATAAGGAGGGTGGTGTGACAAAGGTTTTGGGTCTTCAATGGAATCCCTCGATGGATGTGTTCGGATTCAACGTATGTCCATCAACACACTCCAACCAAACGTACTGTTCTGTCCATCATCGCGAGAATTTATGACCCGATCGGATTTCTCGCTCCAGTCATATTTTATGCTAAGCATATCATGCAAAGGATTTGGAAGGCAAATGTATCCTGGGACGACCCTCTACCACCAGATTTGGTCAATTGTTGGTCCGTGTTTGTCGACAGTCTCCCGGCACTATCAAATGTAAAGGTTCCTCGTTTCCTATCCACGCAATTGCAGTCTCGCGTTCAGTTGTGCGGCTTCTGCGATGCGTCAGAAAAGGGTTACTCGGCAGTAGTGTACTTGCGCACAGTCACACACAATCACTCTGTCTCTATTTCGCTACTTGGATCCAAAACCAAAATGGCCCCTGTAAAGACTTCCACTGTGCCTAGACTCGAGTTATGTGCCGCTGTCCTACTTGCTCGGTGGCTGTACCGCCTTCTGACGATATTACAGGATAAACTGAACGTAGACTCTACCTTTGCTTGGTCTG